AAAAGGTGATAAATAGAAAGAAGAGATTAAAAAGTGGAAATAACAGTATAAAAGAAAAGGAGCATGAAGGGGTAGAACGTTTGACAGACTTCAAGGAAAACTGTGAGAAAGGAAAAAGAATGTTTCAAATTCAGTTCCTCAGGAGATAGGTCAGTGAATTAGTGCTGCGTTAGCAAACAAACTCATTTAACCACACCCACGGATATGACCTTGTGTCACCTGAACTGATGCATGTTCGACAACTTTGAACATGTTGGGTTTAAAAATTCAACAAGCTCCTGCCATGGATAGAAACAAGTTGTGAACATATCAGAAACGTTGAAATGCATCACTACCCATTTCAAATAAAAAGTCTTGCCTTCTGACAAGGTCTCATAAGAATGTCTTACATTGGGTTTTTAAAGGTGATAGTTTGACTGGTCCCAATGCTGGTATCTCAACATGACGTCACAAACATTTTTCAGTAGCTTGAGGTTTATGGAGAATGTAAATCAATGCATTAGGTCATAAATATGTTCAGGTCACGTCTGTTAAACCTTGCTGTTAGGTGACAAATGTGTGTTTTTAGAAAATAATGTTTGATCTCTTTTGAAAACATATGCAATAGCCAAAGCTAAGCTGTCCATGCTCAGCCCCTACTGCTAAAATAAACTCGTCTGCAGGGACACACACAGAAGACAGAAAGCAAACAATGGGATGAAAAAAATCTACACTGGGATGTGATTTAAAAGATCTGGAAAGGGGGGTCAATTTGTGAATAAGGCTGAATATATATGAAAAATGTAGAAACTTATATTCAAAGAATAAACTTGATAAATAACTAACTGGATGGTTGAGAGTCCCAGTATGTAACCTCTGTGGGATCATTATCAAGGCCACTGATGTCACTTGGTTTCTTATTATCTACTTATTAACAAACTAAGTTATACCAGTGGCCTTGATAATGACCCCACAGAGGTTACATACTGGGACTCCCCACTGGTCAGACAGAACAAGCTTTATGGATGAGAGGTGAAACATCTAAGTCCAGTTGCCCTTGATTCAACTTCTCTTGAATAACCATGAACTGGATGACTGAGGATCTTCACATACAAGAAGGTGCAAAATGCAGCTGTAACAAATGTGAAAACAAAGTGAGATGCCAACACACACTCCAATGTTCTTTATCAGAGTGAGACAAGAAAGCAAAGTGAATCTGCATGGAGAAAATCCAAATCCAACAGCGAAACAGGTGGTTTCAGCTAATCCTCTGTGTGTGTGTGTGTGTGTGTGTGTGTGTGTGTGTGTGTGTGT